TTACCATGTCCCTCTTGAAGGAACTTGTAGTAAATTATATTCCCATGAACAACATTTAAGTGTCTGTTTTATCCAACTTTGTCATTACTATAATTTATGAACATTTTTTTTCTTTTTCTTTTTTTTTTGTATGTGCTCCTAGCCACTAGGACATAGAGAAAACCGAACCTGGGACTCTCCAGTCCACAGGCCGATGCTCCAACCACTGAGCCAAACCCACCAGGGCCTAATTTATGAACTTTTATTTGAGAGGTGGAAAGTGTTATCATATTATACTTTTTATTTATATTTCATTGATGATAGATCAAATTGAGAATATTTGTAAGTGTTTTTTAAGTCAAGATTTTAGGACACTTATATTTATCTAGGAAAAGCTTTTTCATGTACTATACCAATTTCTATTGCTGTTGCTCTTTTACCAATTTATAAAAACTAATTCGATATTAAAGAAATTGATATTTTGTCATAAAAGCTGCAGATATTTTATGGAGGTTGAGATATTATTTTTGACTTTTTAAAGTAGCTTTAGAAGCCTGCCAACTTTGATAAAGCAATTATGTAAAAATGGGTTATTTAAACAATAGCACTATGTTAGTCTACTTGAAATGATCATTAATTTATCTAAGATGTAGGTTTCTATATCTTACCTATAAACTATGAGTGGGTTGAATTGGAAAATTGCGAGAATCATTTCAAATCATGATACTGATTTTCCTTTTTGTTACTAAATGCTTGTGGAAAATAAATATATTTTACTACCCAATACATTGTCAATTTATATTTGTAAAAGCCTAGTTATTTTAATTAGGTAATATTACAGCAATAATTTAAAAGAGCAAAAAATTGGCATTTTTAATGCTGATTCTCACTCACAGCTGTAGACTTTATTCCCTACTGCAATTCTAAGCAGTCAGAATGTCCATACATGGACACATATGCAGGGCAGGGCAGTGGATGAAATTGGTGGTGGAAGCCTGTGGAAGTTCTCTTCCTACTGCCGGTTTTTTCAAAGCACTGATCTCACCTGTTGAATTTTAGATGGAAGAAAATGTCAGAGAGATAAAGCTTCTCAATGTTCTTATCATTATGTATAGGTCATGTTTCCAAGGAGATGAAGATCAGTATTCAGGGTGTATTTTATAGAAATAGTTCTAAGGGAAAGGGAAAAGGAAAAGAAAAAAAACAGGACTAGGCAGAGGTAAAAACTGGACTGGGATGCAGAAGCAGAAAAGCATCAGCCAACTCTGTGCATGATGGCTCTTCTGGAGTGAGGCATGGCGGCTGGGCCTTTTCACCCACCTATTTGACCAGTGATTAAATGCAGGCTACCCCAGGAAGGGAGCATAGCCTTGAGTTTCCATTGAAAAAGAGGAAAATCAGAGAGGACTTGCCATCTACCCCACAGCTAGGACTGAATACATGCTTTGGACTTGAAGGGGGATCCAGGCAATGCAGCCCAGCAGCAGCAACACGGGGTGAACCATCAACTCAAATATTTTCTGTGAAAAAGGGACATTTTCTAGATTAGTAAGATTTACTCCTTTAATTTCCAAACAGTGCACAAAATTAACCATTTTGGATGGAAATCTGCATGAACTTATGACACACTCCCCTGCGTTTTTATAGCACATTTGGAACAGAGTTGAACCTTTTCTCACTTATCTAGAGTTATGAAAGTATTGCACTGAGATGTAATACAAAAACTTCTTTAGGATTTATTGAGCTGAGTAAAACTGTTCATCCTGACACCAAATAACTTAAACTTAGCATGCCTTCGAGTTATTTGCATTTTGAACATACCCATTTTCCTTTCTCACTTGTGGATAATTTGTCATTGCTTTCACTATACTCACACGTTTCTATCAGTTTTTCTGCCTTTGAATTTATATCTTCCCAACTAGTGTGTGGTGGGAAGTTAGATAAGTATGGTGTGCTGGTGATAATCAGAAGAGTTAGGCAGCCAAATAAAGAATTCCTTAATAAACATAGTGCTCCTGGAAAAACAATTATTCCTCAAGTAGAGTCAGACTGTTTCTTAGATGGGGGAGATTGTAGTATAAATCTGGAAGGTTATGTTTGAGGCCATTTTCGAATATCATCTATGTCCCTTACTAACAGTGAGGCAAGATTTTTCTATGTAGTTGGTATGAAATATAACTTGAAAATTATTTGATGACATCTCAATCTACTGATTTGCTACTGCTCGTTAAGCCAACAGATTACAAATAGGGATGAGTATGTTTACTGTGTATAGATATTTAAATATCTTGGCTATTTATTTTTCAAGAAGTTACTATGTGCCAAATATCCTGGTAAACATGATTCTTACATGATTCACCCTGTTTAGTCCCTTTACCACCCAGTGAAGCACTTATTATTATCCCCATATTTCAGCTGAGGAAACCAAGGCTCTGAGTTTATGTGACTTGTCCAAGGTCACAAGATTAATAAACCACAGAGCCAGTATTTAAAGCCTATTTATCAGATTTCAAACTTATGCTTTTAACCTTTCTGCTTATATGGTCTACTCAGTTTAAAAGTTAATTATCTCAAATGATGAGATGAGTTTAAATACATCAAATCTTACATATAGTATGCGTAACCCTTTTTTGCAACCATATGAATATCCTGAAGTTGGCCTTTATTTCTAAAGTCAGACAAAAGAGTTAATAATAACTTTTAAAAATTTCTAATCTCATGTCCCCATAGAGAATCTAAGGAAATATAACACATTTTTAAAAATACTGAAATCTGATTACCTTGAACAAGCAGAGATGGTCAATTTATTAGGTTTTTTTTCAGATGGCAATTCTATTAAACCTAAAACAATGTCACAGTTGTAACACATGCGCATTCACACACACACACATACACACACACAATTTCATCCATTTCTTGTTCTGTTACCGGTTTTATTGCCTTTTCTACTTATCTCAATCTGGCTAAAAGAATCAAAGCCTTTTATGCATTAGGTCCCATTACTACCTTGAAGTACTTCAAAAGCCCATTAAGAATATTTATATGCCTCTATTCCTTTTGAAGGTATGTGGGTCTTTTTAACTGAATGTAAGATATCAAGTTGTTCATGGATTTCAAAGTGATGGAAAGAAACAAAAACACCTAGGGAATAATCATGTTTGCATTCAGGATGCCAATAGACACATTTACTGTATTATTTCTTGAATGGAATTGACCATGTTAAAATCCTCACTATAGCTGGTGAGATCCCTATATATTTCCTGGTTCTTGATTACTGTGTGTGCGTTAGCAATGCTCTCATAGATATTTCATTTACCAAGCACCCCACACAGCTCTGTCCACACTGTGATTCCACCCCTGGAGTGGGGAAGGGGAAATAAAGCAAAGTAAAGCTAAACAAAAGAGTCCAAGGAGAACTGAAATGAACTGAGCCAAGAAGACTAGGAAGAAGAATAGGATAGAAAGGGAAAGGACGGGAAAGGAGAAAGAGAAAATTAATGGTTGAATGACCATGGACTTTGAGAACCATCTTCAAATACTCTTGGCTTTCTAAACCTTTCCCTAAGAGCTCCTTTCTCTTTAAATAGGGATTTCATCAGGCAATAACCTAGATTTTAACAAACCATAAATGCTAAGTAGGCATGCATGACAGAGAATTAATAACCTTTATGTTTCCAAAGCTTAATCACCTACTTCTCCTACCCACCAAAACCAACTCGTGCACAGTTTTCTTTAAGAAGGAAGTTTGGCCTCAAGCTGCTTGGTACAATGTAATGGTGCCATTTCCTTGTCTGATTTTGTAGTATTCATTCCTTTTCACTCTTAATTAACATGTGTCTACAGCCTAGGAAACTTTTCTTAGGGTCAATGCATTTATTCAGAAATGTATGCTTTTGTGATGACCCTGGCTACACTGATGCAGAACTAATTTATTTCCTACTGGTACTCAGATTTTCTCATAGGTGATGTAGAAAGTGGTAAAAAAACAAAAACAAAAGAAAACAAAAGCACACACACACAAAACAAGAAACACAAAATAGAAAACTACGTTACACCTCACTTGAGAGGCGGGGCCCTTGGGTCAGGATTCTAGTTACAATCAGTTCTAATTATCCCAAGACCCTGACTATTTATCAGCCTTATGTTTTCTAATGTATAAAATGGGGTTGATAAAAGGTCTGTTTTCCTCCAGAAGAGTTAGGTCCAGTCCTTTCAATTATAATACTACCTACCCTCTTTGTCTTTCTGAAGACTTGGCTGAAAACATGACTCGGAATCACCATTTCCCTTTCTGAATTTTCCATGATTTATTGTTGACATCACACATCTTAACATTTAAGTGCGACATTCTGCCATGATGTGTTATGATTTTATTTTGTAGCTCTAATACCTCAGCTAGACTGTAATTCCTCTGTCTTATTCTTCTTCTCAATGTCTTATACTTCTCTTCTGCCATGGCATCGTTCTCAATGCAGCAATAAATGCCCAATATTAAAATATGCCCTGCCCATTCCAAAACTTTATTATGGGAATTATCTGAAAATGTTTGAGATTCTTTTTTGTATCCTCTCTGGAAGACATTTTTGCCTTTATCTTTAGATAGAGTGGGAGGGAGAGGGGGAGGAAAAGAGAGAGAGAAACATCAATGTGAGAGAGACACATCAGTTGGTTACCTCCTTTACGTGCCCTGACCGGGGCCTGGGATCTATCCTGCAACCCAGGCATGTCCCTTCACTGGAAAGCAAACCCCGGACCCTTTGGTTCGTTGGCTAACACTCTAACCTCTGAGCAACACTAGTCAGGGCAAGCTCTTCTCTTGGAGTGGCTACAAATTAAGTGAGTTAGCCTGTGCTGTGGTCCTTTGCAAGCTCTAAAGTGATGTACAACTGTGTTGCTCATATCCTTCCAGTAAACGTGCCCTTGAACACTCAAACTGGGTCAGAAGAACTTACATCTTAGCTGTTTTGAGAAGCTGAATGAAGATCTAAGTCTGAGTGTACATGTATGTGCTTTCTTTCTAGAGTCGCATGGATGTGTATCTGTCACATAATCCAGAGAAGACTTCTGTTCAAAACATGCTCCACTGGAGCCAGGTACATTTCACAAACGCTGTTAAAATTATTTTATAAACATGAATCTAAAGCACATTGTTAACATGTTCTGTCAAATGCCCCTGGTGGGGAATTTTTCTGGCATGTGACTACCAGCTGAAAATAACTATCATTTCATGTGAACGAAAATCTTGTGAAACAGGTGCTCTGGGTAGCAAAGAAAGGAATGATTTTCATGAAAGCAAAGCTGCCTTTAAACTCGCATTAGTACCTTGTCCGGGATGATGAATAGGTTTCATTTTGGGAATGAAAAAATATGTTTTAGCCCTGGCCGGTTTGGCTCAGCGGTTAGAGCGTCGGCCTGCAGTACAGAGAGACCCGGGTTCGGTTCCCGCTAAGGGCATGTACCTCGGTTGCAGTTTATCCCCGGCCCTGGTTGGTCGTGCGGGTGGCAACCACTCGATGTGTCCCTTCACATCGATGTTTCTCTCTCTCTCTCTTCCTCTCTCTCCCTCCCGCTCTGTCTGAACAAAAAAATGCAAAAATGTCCTCGGGTGAGGATTAAAAAAAAAAAATGTTTTAAAATCATTGTTTTAATTAAAAGTTAGACTATTTGGACAAGTTTCTGTTTTATTTTTCACATAGCAAGAAGAGTTGATATTTCCCTGTGTTCTTAATTTCTCTACATTAGGCTGTTAAGTCTGACAAATTTCAAGCTTTTGACTGGGGAAACCCGGTTCAGAACATGAGGCACTATCATCAGGTAAGCTTGATAATGTTGAAATCTTCCATATTTTGAAAGACTAATATTTAAATGGTTAAAGATGAAATTATAATAACTGTGCATATATTTTCCAAAGCAATATTAGTGCCCAAACCTAGCCTTAAGGAAATTGCAGAGTATTATTGCCTTGCGATTCCTTCATTGTGTCAAACATCAGCTGAGTCTCATCCATGATCTCCTTGGTAACCCATTCATTGTTTAATAACATGCTATTTCGCCTCCACGTGTTCAAATGTCTTTGGATGTTCTTGTTGCAATTGATTTCTAGTTTCATGCCATTGTGATCTGAGAAGATGCTTGATATGATTTCAATCTTCTTGAACTTGTAGAGACTTAGTTTGTGTCCTAACATGTGGTTTATCTTTGAGAATGTCTCATGTGCATTTGATAAAAAAGGTGAATTCTCTTGTTTTGCGGTGTAATTCTCTGTAGATATCTATTAAATCCATTTGGTCTAGTGCTTCACTTGGAGTCTTCATTTCCTTGCTAATTTTTTATCTATAGGATCTATACAGTGATGTTAGCGGGGTATTGAAGACCCCTGCTATGACTGTACTGCTGTCGACTTCTCCTTTGAAGTCCTTCAGAAGATTTTTAATATATTTTGGTGCTCCTATATTGGGTGCATATATGTTTATCAAGGTTATATCTTCCTGTTGGATAGATCCTTTCAATATTATGTAGTGGCCTTCTTTGCCTCTAGTTATAGCCTTCACTTTGAAATCTATTTTACCAGATATGAGTATTGGTACCCCAGATTTTGTTTCCTTTCCATTTGCTTGGAAGATTTTTTTCCATCCCTTCACTTTCAACCTACGTGAATCTTTTGTTGTGAGGTATATCTCTTGTAAACAACATATAGATGAGTCATGCTTTCTTAGCCAATCAGCTACTCTGTGTCTTTTTATCAGAGCTTTTAATCCATGTACATTTAAAGTGATTTTTTTTTTTTTTTTTTTTTATCCTCACCCGAGGACATTTTTCCATTTTTTGTAGAGATAGAGTGGGAGGGAGAGAGAGGAAAGGAGAGAGAAAGAGAAACATCGACGTGAAGGGACACATCGAGTGGCTGCCACCCGCACGACCAACCAGGGCCGGGGACAAACTGCAACCGAAGTACGTGCCCTTAGCGGGAACCGAACCCGGGTCTCTCTGGACCGCAAGCCGACGCTCTAACCGCTGAGCCAAACTGGCCAGGGCTAAAGTGATTTTTGATATGTACTTATTTATTGCCATTTTTGTTTAGTGTAGTTATATTTTTCTTCCTATTTCTTCTACTAATTACAGCAGTCCTTTTAACATTTCTTGCCATGCTGATTTGGTGGTAATGTACTCCCTTAGCCTTTTTTTTTTTTTTTTGTCTGGGAAGCTCTTTATTTGATCTTCTATTGTGAATGAGAGCCTTGCTGGGTAGAGTAATCTCAGATCCAGATCTTTGTTTTTCATGACCTTGATTACCTCTTGCCATTCTATTCTGGCCTGTAGTGTTTCTGTTGAGAAGTCCTATGATAGCCTTATGGGGTTTCCTTTGTAGGTAACCTGTTCCTTATTTCTTGCTGCCTTTAGGATTCTCTCTTTGTCTTTAATTTTTGGCATTTTAAATACTGTGTGTCTTGGTGTGGGCCTGTTTAGGTTCTTCTTACTTGGGGTTCTCTGTGCTTCTTGAACTTGAATGCATTTTTCCTTCACCAAATTAGGGGAGTTTTCTGTCACTATTTCTTCAAATATATTCTCTAATCCTTGCTCATTTTTTTCTTCTTTGGGGACTCAAATGATGCAAATATTATTATGTTTCCAGTTGTCCCACAGTTCCCTTAAGTTTTTTAATTGTTTTTCTTTTTGATTTACTGATTGGTTCATTTTTTTCTACCCTGTCTTCTAATTCACTGATCCGGTCCTCAGCTTCCTCTACTCTGCTGTTTAGTCCTTCCAATGTGTTCTTTATTTCTGCTATGTCATTCTTCATTTCTTCTTGGTGGTTTTTAATTTCCAATAGGTTGATTTTCCATGTTTCTATATCTTTACTCATGGTGTTGAGCTTCCTCCAGATCATGGCTCTGGATTTTAGCTCTGTTAACTTGCTTAACTGCATTTCATTTATCTCATCTTTGGTAGAGGTCTCTTGTTGTTTCATTTGGAATTTGTTTCTTTGTTTCACCAATTTGACTATTTCAGTGGGTTTTGGAGCCTGCCAAATTTTTTCCTGTGGGTGTTGGTGTTCTGCTGTTTGTGGCTCCCTCTACTGGGTTTGGATGGGCATGGGAGGACCCACATTAAACACCACTGTCAAGTCTTACTTTCCTAGGTAGAGTTGCAAGCCCAGGAATGGTTCAGTTACCCTCTAGGTTTTTGCTTGGAAGCTGTTAGTCTTGGTTACTTGAAGAGCCTTGGGTTCTCAGTTGAATGAAAAACTCCCTCTGGTGTTCAGTCTAAGGGGATTCCCCGAGGGTGGGGCATATACTGTTTGTTAATGAGCTTCAATTTGCATTTCAGTGGCCCCCAGGTCTCCAAGGGAGGGGCAACCACCTCTCCCCAGAGCCGTGGGAAGGAGTAAGATGGCCACACTCCTGTGTGACCACAACTCAGCAAAAACTCTGAGCGTCATCCAAATCCCGAGTTTCCCCTCACAGTTCCAGTCCAGTCAGCCTTCCCTCTGCCAGAGCCCAAGATAAGTGGCTGTGTCTATTTTAGCCTCTGTCCCGGCCCTCTCTGCTATGAAGTGGGCTTGCAAGTTTAACCCCGAGAACGCTGCTCACAGCTAAGACCACTGCTGTCAGTGGGCTCCCATCACCCTTCTCATGCCTCCGCAATCTTCCCAGGATGAATTCAGTGTCATTGGTTAAATGATCCTTGCAGGCTGCTTTTCTGTTGCTTTTTCCTGACACTTTATCTTTATTTTAGTTGTAATTCCAGTTTGGTCCTGGGAAACGGTCTGTGTAGCTTGCATTCACTCCACTGCCATTTTGGAAATCTTCAAAATATTCTCACCAGAGAATTTTTTCCATATATCTTCAGATGGGGGGGGGGAGAAAGGGAGAGAGAGAAACATTGATGTGAGAGGGACACATCGACTAAATGCCTCCCACATGACCCCAACCAAGGCTGGGACTAACCACAACTGAGGTACATGCTCTTGACTGAAATCTAACCCTTAACTCTTTGTCTCAAGGGCCAATATTCTACTACTGAGCCAAGTGGCCAGGGGCCTTTTTAGAATTTAATCACCCCTCACCACAGTAGACAGACCTGCCTTGTATCCCAGACCCCTGGCACACTGTTCTCTCCTTTCCAAAGTGCAATTAGCTAGTATAATAAACCAGTAATTCTAACTGTTCATAAGATAGAGCTGGACTCATTGGTTTTCAAACATGATGCTCTCCTTTATTGTCAGGCAGGGAAGTGATTCCAGCACACTTCCAGACACGAAGGAACGCTGGTGCACCTGCAGGTCAAAGCTGGACATCCTTCCCAGCAGCAGGCACCGTGTGGTGCAGGCAGACACACTGTGAACCTTGTAGTACAAAGAGCCCAAGCTTGGAGTCTGTCCTACTTGAGGTCAATGTGAGTTCACACAATAATTTCTTCATCTCTCCTCCTAGGTTCAAGGAATTATTAATAATACTTAATGGAATAATGTCTATAAATCCTTCACTCAGGGTAAATTCTCAAATTATTACTGCCTAAATATGAACAAGGGAAGTACCTACAGTTTTTTTGTGTGTGTAATTCTCTTATTTTCCTCCTCACCCTACCCCCAATTTTTCCACCCAACTGGTAGCTGAACAAAACCACTAATTTTCATCTACTTCCATGACTCAGTATTTAGAAGGGAATTACGTCTTTTAAACACAGTATCCTGTATGTAGAAAGATGCCCCCATTTTTTATATATTTGTTGTCTTTGAAGATGTTTTCAGAAGAGCATCCAATCAACATTTGTTGAAAGCAATTCCCCCACACCCCAATCATCATCCCTTCCAACCCCCCAAACAGAGATTGCTTTGAATCTATCTTTCTACTGGGCTCTAATACCAGTAATCAGAGGACTGCACTGATTACATAGGTCTTGAATAACCTAATCCCAAATCCAACCCCCTCCAAGCAAGCTGATAATAGCTCAAGATGATTTTCAACTATAATAATGCATTAAAATACTAAGAAAAATTGCATATGCTAAAATTCTTTGTGCGGAAAGTTGACTATTACCTGAAGTGAGAATAGAAAAATTGTAGTATATTGCACTGGTTTTCTCGAGAATATGATATATAAAAACACAGAATTCTCTGGGAAAATTGGCAGTGACTTTCTCTCTCTCTCTTCCTTTTGTCCTGCTTTATGAGCCTTTATAAAGGCCATGTGTGAATGGTGATTTTCTAGAAATAGGAAATGGGACTGATGATAGCTTTTCTCAGAATTTGAACCATTACTTAGTACTTAGTAGTGTCGGCCCTCGTTTATCACGGTTAATCAGTTCCAGACTCTACTGGGATAAGTGAATTTCCACGAAGTAGGATTCTTTATTTATATACAGTCGTCCCTCGCCACTGCATGCTTCGACTTTCACGGCTTCACTCTATCGTGATGTTTTCAAATACTATGCTATATTCAAAACACCTCGATAGAGTGAAGCCGGAAAGTCGAGGCGCGGAGTGGCGAGAGACGACTGTAAACTCAGGCAAGTATTTAACATCCAGCTTCTTAAATGAACTGATTGATCTGCAGACTGACCACAATGGAAAGTCAATACAAAGCCAAAATAAATGACTCAGGGCCTTTTCAGGAGATCATATTTTAGAGTGTTTAGGCAGAAACCATCTATTACAGCTGGAGTCCAGTCAAGTTGACTTCCTTCAGCTGGAGTTGAAATCTAAATTTTTAATTTGTTAGAATTGTTATCTGAAGCCTCACTATTCAAAGCATGGTCCAGGACTAGCAGCAGCAGCATCGCCTGGGAATGCAGAAGCTAGGCTCTTCCCCAGATGTACCGAATCAGAATTTTCATTTTAACAAGATCCCTAAGTGACTCACAAGCCTGTTAAATTGGAGCAGCACTGATCTAAATCATATTGCATCCAATCTGCTCTGTGGATAAAGGAGACTTTCTCTGAGCAGTCATTGTTTAGAATTGACTTATAAAACCAGGTCATGACATTTGTGACAACATCGATAAAATTTGAGGGCATTATATTTATTGAAATAAGTAAGAGAAAGATAGAGACTGTATGACCTCATATGTGGAATCAAAAACAGTGAAAGCAAACAACAATATACCTGAGTTCATAGCTAGAGAGAACATGTTGGATGCCAGAGGAGGGGTGGACAGTAGGCAAAATGGGTGAAAGTAGTAAAAAGGTTACAAACTTTCAATTATAAAATAAATAATTCCTGAGAATGTGATGAACAGCATGGTGACTACAGTTAATGATATTGTAGTGCATATGTGAAAGTTGCCAACAGAACGAATCTTAAAAATTCCCATCGTAAGAAAAAACAATTGGAACTGTGTAAAGAGGATGTTAAGCAGATTTACTGTGATTGGGGTGATCATTTCACAATATATACATATAGCAAAATATTATGTTGTACACCTAAAACTAATATAATGTTTTATGTCGATTATAGGTCAATGAAATATATTTAGGCCAGTTTATGTTGAATAAGCTACCCACGGAGTAAGTATTGAGGTTTGAAGTGCAGATAACTATGAAAACTGTGGTCCTTTCTCTCTTGTGTATTAGCCCACACCTCCCGATTGCCATTTGACAGACATAAATGTGCCAATTGCAGTGTGGGAGGGCGGCAACAACTGGGTGGCTGACCCTCATGATGTTGACCGTTTGCTTTCCAAATTCCCTAAACTCATTTATCACAAGCGCATTCCTTCTTACAATCACATGGATTTTGTCTGGGGACTGAATGCCCCTCAAGAAGTCTATAATAAAATTGTTTCTATGATAGAAAAAGATAAAAATTAGTTCTGGATTTCAAGAATCATACATTCATTTTTCCAAAACCCCCTTTTCTGTCCCATGTGATTTTCTATAATGTTTGAGATGCAACGCTTCTTTCTGTAATTTTGACTTCTGAAATATATTAGCATTCAAAAACTTCCATGGTTCATTTTGATTTTTAAATAATTTTTTTCAATTTGATTTTCTATTAAAAATGTATCTAGGTACATTTAAAAGAACACATTCCTGAGGTGGTGAAACTTCTCTTCCAATCTTCTCATTCAATTTATCTTCTAAAGTCATGATCCATGAATCACGAGTGTCTCCCAAAGACAGTCCTGGGATTGAATATTGACCCCTCTTATGAATGCTTGAGACTGAGTAAATTGCCTTCTGTGGTCTATTATTGATGAAGCTGAATATTCCCATATGCACAGTCGGAATAGCACCTGCTCTTTTTCTGGTTTAACTCCATGAAAAGACAAATGAGGTTGCACACTGAGCTGAAGTCAGCTCATTGTCACTTTCTAGGCAGAAGAAAGCAAGGGTAGGTTAGGAAGCAACAGACAGTCCTGGTTCAGGAAATTGGGAATTACAGGGTGTTCTCTCCATTTCAACAGCTATTCTGCCCCCAGATGCCAGGACTCAACCACAAAACAGGCAGCAACTAACAAAAGGGTTTTTGAAAACACTGCCACTGTCCTGGCAACCACGGGATCCAGAAACATTCCCACTGATATTTAAGTCAGAATGCACAACTTCCAGCAATTGACACACCTCCCCCCAAAATAATGGCTCCTTGAAACTTCCAAATTTCTAGTAAACACAGCCCCACCTTGGAAATTCTATTAACCCCATAAAATCGTTACCTCATATGTAATGCACTTCAGCTTTTTGGATCTCACTTATCAGGCTGTAGTAGGGATTAACAAATATAATATAAATGAGATCAAGAGCACCTTGTACCCAGCATAATATATAGAACATAATGAATATCACAAAAATCTATTAATGATTTTTATTATATTGTCATGTCTCCCAACCTTTGCTAGAAAGCCTGAAGCTTTCTTACTTATTTTCACCACCTCAGCTTTATTTTTAATGTGGAAACAAAAAATCATTTCTAAAAGGATATTATTTAGGGGCCGTTATTTCAATTATTTCAGTGAACTTCCATAGGAGCCTTTAATAAACTGACATGAGAATCTCAGTGACTGTGTCAAATATGCGTGCTGAGAAGCCAATTAAGGAGTCAGATGTTTCCTTACTCTGCCTTCTCAAGAAAAAGCCAGTCATTATCTTCTTACAGTCTCCTGTGGTTTTCCAGCTAATTGCCTTTTCTATGGTTTACATTTAGCAAACAAAGGCAGCTTTGGTTTGGGTCTTTGAACACAAGTAAATATATTTGCTTCTACGGCAGCCCTGCTAATATCTCTCATTCCTAAATTCTGAACTGGTAACGTTATCAGCTGATCTTTGAGGATTAATTTCTCTTGCTACTTCCTTCTTCCTGTATTAATTTCAACCAAATTTGAGACAAGACATGTTTCATCCATGAGTGTTTCCTGTTGTATTTGTAGACAATAAGATCTCTTTCTTTCCCTGCTGAGTTTGGCTCAGTGGGTACAGCATCCGCCTGCAGACCAAAGAGTCCTGCTTTCCCTCCCCTGGTGTCAGTCAGGGGCTTGTGGGCGGCAGCCCATCCGGCAACCAGTTGATATGTCTCTCTCACCTGGATGTCTCTCTCTCTCTCTGTCCCTCCCTCCCAGTCTATCTGAAAAAAAAAAAAAAATCAATGGTAAAATATTCTCTGCTCTGGATTAAAAAACAAAAGAAGAAGTAGATCTCTTTCTTTGTTTAACATAACAATACCATGATTACACCAAAATCTTCCTTAATATCATAAAATATCCAGTCAGTGTTTAAATTTCCAATTGTCTCATAAATGTCAATTTTTTAAAGAGTTTGTTTGAATCAGAATCTAAATAAATCCTTCACCTTTTATTGTTTGATCTGTTTCTTTAGGACTATGGATTACCTATTGCTTTTCTTTTATTTCTTTAACATTTTATTATTTTTGAATGAATGGTGTCTCTTTTCTTATACTTTCATACCATTGAGATTTTGCTGGTAATATTTTTGTAGTATCACTTAATATGTCCACTTCCCTTCATTTCCCATAAACCAGGATTCTTACCTCAACATTATTGACATTTGGGCCAGATAGTTTTTATTGTCCTGGGCATTGTAGGATATTTAGCTGCATCCCTCAACCCACTAGATTCCGGTAGTACACATGCACCCCAAATTGTAACAACCAAAAATGTGTCTAGGTATCACCTTAGAGGCAACACAATTCACCCTCCCCACTGAGAACCACTCTTATAAATTATAATCTTGATCAGATTGAGATTTATTTTTGGAAAAGCTGCTTCATGGACCATGTTGCATTTTTGTATAATGAGGGCCATAATGCCTATATGTCCCTCTTTAAAGATGTCAGTGGCCATTTCTTTTAGTACCCAGATCTGATCACTCAGTACAGGTTAGAGAATGGTGACACTCTAATTTAATTAGTTCTTCTTCATTTATAAGCTAGGATCCTTCCATAAGAGAAAAGTTTCTTCATATACTATTTGGTTATCCAAAATGCATAATTTTTATTTTTTTCTATTTACAAAATTAATATTCCTTTTTTAATTATCACAACAAATCCATGTTTCTATGCATTTTTGATGTGTTTCAGTTCAATGTAATATGATCCTTACTGATATTAAAATTATCTCCACTATTGTTGTGAGAGCATCTATAAATTGGCTCCAAGGTTCTTTTGACCAAATATGTCCTCTTGTATGTTTGCTATCCCTGCTTTGGAAGTAGTTATTTCTCTAAGAAGGCCTGGTTTTTTTTAAGGAATTTTTTTACTAGTGAGGGTGATCATTGTTTTTGAGTTGATCATTGTTATTAGGTCTTTTCAATGAAGAGAGCTAGCTAATATTTTTAAGATAAACTATATCAGAAGTTCTTATTCATTTTTCAGTTCATTTTTTAAAAATAGTTGTTTGCCCGGCAGGCGTGGCTCAGTGGTTGAGCATCGACCCATGCATTCACCAAAAGGTCATCAGTTTGATTCCCAGTCAGGGCGTATGCCCAGGTTGTGGGCCATATCCCCAATGTGGGGCATGTAGGAGGTAGCCAATTGATGTTCTCTCTCATCCATGTTTCTATCTCTTTTTCTCTCTCCCTTCCTCTCTCTCTCTCAAATTAATAAAGAAAAAAAAATAACAATTTATTGGAGACCTGCAATTGTTTTCATACATTAAAAAAAAAGAAATAACTGTTCATGACCTTCTTCACCATGACAACTGTAATATAATGTTTGAACTCTTGCAATAGCATCTTAAATTGTCTTTCTTTCTCTGGTCACTATGCTTAATATTTCAAACTAATTCCTGACATTCTGTCCATTCTTCAACATCTTAAGTTCAGATTCTTCAATGTGCCATCCCAAATTCTCATAAATGTGGAATTATTTATTTATGCTGTTTCTTTTTCAACTACTTTAATTAGTAGCCTCCTTTCTAGTCAAACTATCTCTTCATTATGTCTCAAATATTCCTCATATCTTGCACCACCATACTGTTGCTCACATTCCCCTCCAAAATTCTTCCTAATTCATTGTGGGGTTGCAAGTAGTTATGTATGTCCTGTGCATAAATCACATGAAGATCAATATATATGAAAAGAGAACTGTGCTGTAATCCAAAACTTACTGGAAATAATAACTCATTTTTTTAAAGTATGGTATTTTAAATTTAAAAGAGATATAAGCCAGTGGATCTCAACCTTCCTAATTTCATGACCCTTTAATACAGTTCTTCATGTTGTGGTGACCCCCAACCATAAAATTATTTTTGTTGGTACTTCATAACTGTAATTTTGCTACAATTATAAATCGTGATGTAAATATCTGATATGCAGGATGTATTTTCATTGTTACAAATTGAACAGAATTAAAGCATTGTGATTAATCACAAAAACAATATGTAACTATGTATTGTGAAATATTTATTTCTAATTACAAATAAATGAAATTTTATCTTGAAGCATGGTGTAGCGTGGGTAACCATCTTAATATAACAACAGTAAACTACATTGCTACATTTTGCAACAGTATGCGTAAAAATCCAACCTCAGTGCAAAGGTTGAGATTGCTTCCTTCTCAGAAGATCAGAAATTCTCGGGGCAGTCTTTGCAAGAGCACAACAAAGATCATCATCCATAACAAGTCTACTTTTATATTTAGACTTGATAACCAACAAGCTGAAAAACTATGTTTTACAAAGATACGTTGTTGGAAATGGAAGAAAAAGGCGCAACACAGTCTCAGACAGAACAGGATATAATTGCAAACACTTGATCCAGAATTTTGTAACTGCATTGTAGAGAAATCAGTTCTCGCTGCATCGTTGTTAATAAGTTCAATGAACTCCTCTTGTTCTGTCTGGGGAACGTCTTCAACTTTGACTGTGAATGGGCTTCTGGCAAGTGTAAATGGGGTGTCAGGTAAGTTTGGAAGGTATAATTAAATTTTGTCTGAAAACATGTGTAAGTGTTCTTTCACAGAAATTATCATATAATCCTTTTGTCTGGTTCAATGTCATGTTCCTCAAAGAAAGCAGATAAGGTAGGCAACATGAAAATTTTATTTTCATCCAATTTTTTTTTTGCCAAAGCTGAAGTTTTACATGGAATGATTGGATCTTTTCAGATAAATCGAGGCATGTTGCATTTGGTCCTTGCAGTGATAAATTTAACTCATTCAAGATGTCAAAGATGTCAACCAAGTAAGCTATTTTCTGCAGTTCACTTTTATCGCTGAAAAGTGCTTCGAACTGCGGTCTTGCTTTCTGATTAAGAAAGGTTTTGAGTTCATCACGAAGCCCAGAAACATGTTTTAAAACTTTTCCTGTCAACAACCTTCTCACTTCAGTGTGAAATAGCAGAGTATTGTTTGGCGCATC